ATGGATGTATAAACTCTGCAAGGCAGAAATCCTCTTATCTCCACTTCTTTGTTTTCTGCAGAGTACTGTGTTTGATTCCAACCCTGTTTGTTTAAAGCTCTGATACTGCAGCTTTTAATAGTGATGCATGTTTAGTTGTTTCTTTAGCATTGAAGGGTTTTCACTGAAAATTTCCAAGTCAGGCCTGTTTGCCAGCCTGGGAATCTCACTTGTAAGAAAGCTGAATGCATTTCTGCTTCAGGAAAGTGTTTCCCGAGAGTCACATTTATGTTAGCACACAGGTAGACAATCCACATGCCAAATGCAGAGAGAACTGTGGTATGGGAAGAGTGACTTGCTATGTTATGGTTAGATTTCTGTGCAGGGTTTATTCTAGATTATAATGGAAGGAGTGCTTTACATGCAATTTAGCTGGAACGGCACCTTTTTATAAACACTTGGGCAAGATCAAGTGCAGCATAAAATCTAGTCTGAGAGGTCTCGATTAACCTAGGCTTCATTGCTCAATGTTAAAGACACGAGAACTGGAAACTAGACTTGGGTTCTGCTGCATTTGTCCCAAGTACCTCATCTGATGTCCAGACACTGACAGGGTTACTTTTCCAGAGTCAAACAAATGAATAGAAAATGTCAGTTGTTTGAGGGTATGCAGCTCTGCCCTAAAAAGAGGGGAGGGTCTGTGCACCTGCGTAGCTTCAACTGCATTATGGGGTGCAGGAGGAGGGCACGTGGTGCTCAGGCTGACAGTAGCTGGGAAAGGCGGAAAGAGGCAAAATAACTGAAAAGCGCAAAATGTTGCTAAGGGTACAAATGCAACACGCATGTAAGAAATACACAGAATCTTCATTATATAAAATTCAAGTGCATATAGATCAGTATTTGACAGCTCACCACATCGTACTGGTGATGGGGGGAGCTGCAAACCTCCTTCAGTGAATTCTCACCTGGTAGACACTGTGTTTTTCACAACAGCAAAACTTACTACAGGAATGCAGTCAAAATGTGATTTTGTTAAGTGACTAGGAGAGAGGGAGGTAGATTGGATTTTGGTGGAGGCTAAAGGCTAAGAATGAGAGACCAAAGTCTGCCTTGTTAACAAGGAGTCCATTCAGAGACACCAAAAATACACAGGAAATCTGAAATGCTACCATCTATTAGTTTGCTGTAGGATTTCTACTCCTGCCCCTACATTTGTTTGGTGAAAAATTCACATGAAACTTTCGTCCCCTTCTGAAAATAAAATAAATTAAAAAAAGATAATAATCAAACATCCACATTTAAACACAGTTTGTGAATCATGGGATTTCCCAACTGTGTGACATCTGGTCCATTCCTGCTGCTTTGCACTGTGTATGTGTCCTGATTGCATGCAAACCAGCTTTGAATGGACATTTTGTGAAGTGTGAAGTGTTCGCTATCTGAGAGCCGGGGAGGCAAGGACATGGTTAGCCCTTAGAGATCTAGTTGCAAGAGGCTGCAAGAAAAGCGGTAGATCTGTCGGACATGAAACATATTTTGAATTGCTGGTTGCGTGTGTAGCTCCTGACACCTCTGCTGTCAGGCTGCTGGTGCGTACCCGTGTGTATGTGTAGGAAGTGACTGTGGAAACATGCCAGTGTTTTTTAGCTCTCTTTGAGTTTCCCCCATTGGATTACTAGTTGCTGTTGGTTACTTACGTTGAAGAGGCCTTTTTTGCAATGACACAGGTGAAAGTGCCTGTGAAACAAGTAACTTGCTGATTTTAGGAGCTGTATTTTGGTGCAAGCATTTCTCAATGATTGGGTTGCTGGGTCTTGCTCAGACTTGCCTCCCTGGTTCCCTTTGGAGAAAATAAGAAACTTATTGGGAAGTTTACTAGGCACTGGGAGCTCTGGTGCTACCTCTTCATCGCTGCTGGTACCACTACGGGAGGGCAGCTTGCCAGCTGGACTGCTTGTTCTGCCTGCAGACTCAGAAGGTGCTTCAAGCAAGGCGGATTTGGATGTGCAGTGATCACAGGGGGGTGGTGCAATGTTGGGCTGTTGAGGGAAAGCAGTGACAGTGAGTTTGAAGAAGTCAATGGGAAAGGCCATCATTTTCAAATGAAAGTGAGCCTAGACTGGGCTATTTCAAGCAAGCCAAGCCACGAACTTTAGCGGAAATCCAGATCTGATTCAACTTCCAGGTGTTTAAACTTGCCGTCTTTCCTATTTTTAAAGAACCATCTTTACTCTGCCAAAGTCTGTATTCTGTGGTTATTTTGTGTTCATCTGCTTTCCAAGCTGAAAACAGCTTTAATTAATTGACTGGCAGCAGAACAGCCCATTCACTTTAGCACTTGACAGGTGAAGAGCTGATGTCAGCTCAGCGACTGTTTGGCTGTCAGACCTGGGGTACAGTACATAACTGCTTCCTTACACTGATTTACCTGTGGATGTAGAGCCATGATGTTTATCAACATCTAAGATTTCAGATCTCTAAGCAAAAAGCTCAATGTGTGGCCATTTGGAACTATGCTAGTGATAAAGAGGCAGAACAGTGAATAATAAATGCTACCATGAAGTGGCTTCGAGACTGATATGAAGATAGAGAATCAAAAAGGATTAAATCCTGAGGTGGGGTAATTATTTTTAATGACTGTTTACTAGTCTGTGCTTCTTGGAAAGTCAGGGAGTTTCTAGATGGTGCAATGTGTGTTGCTAAACTGCTAGTTGCTGGGAGCAGGACTATGTTTGACCTAAATGGAACCCAAGAGATGAAGATTTGCATGTTCAAGTAAGTAACTTCAAGACAAAAATACATGAAAGAAAAAAAAAATAATGAAAGGAAACCTATTCTGAAGGCAAACCATCTGAGGAGGTTGGGAGACAGGAAATCTGCTTCATGTTAGCAAAAAATCTGATCTTTTGAAGCTTGTGGGCCGTATTCTACACCAGTTAGTGATGAAATTCTTCCAAAACCATCAGGATTACACCCTTCCACTGGCTTCAGGGATTGGGCTTTCCCACTGGAAGGCCATTTGATCTTTCTTGCTTTTAAATACAAATGCAAATTTCTCATGAGGTCTCCTTCGTTTCTTACTATAAATGTTTCTGTTGGCAGCATTTTCTGAACTAAATGCCGGGCAGATTTCAGATGCAATCCTACGTCCAAGGTTTTGTACATTAAGCCAGTCAGAAGGTTTCTCCAGTAATCTCCAGGAATTCCTTCTTAGTGGTTGTTACCCAATAACTAGAGCCTTGATTTTGACTTCTTTTTTTTTTTCTGTGGGCTTTCTCTGGTCGGTGGAGACTAATGCTCTCTAGCTAGCCTTTTTCTGTTAGGATTAGGAGTTCAGCATGAAGTCATTGTGACAAGTGCAGTAATTCAGGACAACAGTGAAACTCATTTGGGTAAAACTTCAACTAGTGTTACTGTATTTTTGCTTCTTTCTCTTTTCCCAAGGGACAGAAAGTGTATCTGCTTGAGGTCAGGTTTGATTTGCAGTTTTTCTGTGGATGGCATTGAAGTTGACTGCTTGTGGAGGCTTTTTCTTTGCTGCTAAGTGGAAAACTAGACTAAAATATGATTTGGTTCCTGTTTGTGATGGCCCTTGCACTTGCTGTCATTTATTATTTGTGTCATGGCTTTGCTTTGTTAGGGGGCTTTATAGAAATAGAGAAATGGATTTGTCTGTTCATAGATTTCAAAGTTCTGCACTGTAATGAAACTGCTGTAGCTGAGTCAGTTATGGGACTCCTCACCAGAGGTGTATTTCTCAAACTTCACGTCTCTCTTATGGGAAAGGTGTTAAAATAGTATTCCAGAATACTAGTATTCCAGAAGAACTGCTCCACCTTAAATCTGGTCTTGCTACTGAACGCCTTTAAGAGGAACTCATATAGAAATACTCATACAATACTCCCTCTTACTGGCCTGCCAGACCCAAGTATTCAAATGTTATGTACAGCTGAGATATACAAATAAATGTAGTTTTCTTCTGATCTTTTAGGAATGAGTGTAAATCTTTCCTTTGCAATTATGAGAGTTATGAACTTACTATGTTTAATATGCATGCAATTTTTTTAATCAACAGCTGAGATTCTTACCAAGACATGCGACTCCAGGAACAGGCTAACACTTTGTTACTGGCTGCTGATACTACCTAGTTTTGTGCAGGCAGCACAAGCAATGTCTTGCCTCACCTCTCTGCTTTTACCTCAAGAGAGGTCATTAACAGCCATGATGCAGATTCATTTCCATATGAATTTAATGCAATGTAATGTCAGAAGTGTGTGCAGTTATGTTGTCCCCAGGGCCTGGGTCACCCCTGTGAATGAAGCTGCTTGAGGTTTATGTTCCCCAGCATTAAACCATAGACATTTTCCTCCTTCCACACCCAGTGAGGGCCTCCTTAGTTGTGCTAGTGAGTAACAACTGTTAGTGTATTGTCAGAGGGCATCACCAGGCAGTATTTTTCTCATATGGGTGTGCTGGCTACTTTAAACGCCAGAGCTTTTTGCATGACCTTGCAATATTGCACGGATGTTTTTGTTTGTCTTTTGTTTGTTTTTTTTTTTTTTTAATTTTTCTGTTAATGTGCAGAATAGCTTGTTAGAATAGATTCTGATTTACAGTGAGATGGGATAATATATGTTCTGGAAGGTCCTGTGCACCCCTTATGTGCTGGAGAATGACTGCAGTTTTTAGTGGTTATTTCAAAGATGTTGTAAGTATTTTCCTTAGCCTTTCTCTGTCTAAAAAATAACAATAACAATTAATCTCCTCAGGGCTTCTTCACATCCTAATTACAACCAAGCCTCTCATTAGTCCCACAGGGAGACAGAATCAAATGCCATATGGTATTTTACACTTAGGATGCTGTGCTTACCAAGTGCTGGAAGGAGACAGGAAAAGGGGGAGTTAACAATTCATAACCATTTATGGAACAGGCACAGCCCTCCTTGGACCCAGTTCAGCAGAGTCGGAGGGCCTCAGATCAGGAACTTTATCTGGCTAGTAATTGCATCGGCATGCTGGCTTTCTTGTGTGCGTGTGTGGGCATTTGGTGAGCAGGATACGAAGCTGCAGAATCTTTGTGCTGGCATCCACACACAAGGATGAATTAAATGCACACACGCCTCCCAGGAAGGACCATGGCTGGATTCTACGGTTGCCTGAAAAGTAAAAAGTAAGTGCCATGCTGAGCCCTTCCCTCCACCTTTCCAAAGTGAGCTGACTCTAGTGGGTACTTTGAAATTCTGTCTTTGTTGTGTTTCAGCAGCAGCACTGAACAAAATGCTTATGCCTTGAGACTGAAGTACCATTCTGAGTGCAAAAGTGCAAAAAATCAATCCTGGCTGAAATACCAAATCAGTGAAAATTGGTCATGTTTTTTTTCCTTCAGAGGTATAAACATGAAATATTGAAAAAGGAATTAAGAACCTTCTCCTGTCTAATTATAGTAAAAGGAAAAATGTCCTCATCCTTATTGATTAACTATATTGTTTATATATTAACACATAAAAATGTGCAATAAAGAAATGCACATTGGCTTTTAAAAAACGTTCAGCTAGAAATCTGGCAGTAAATGCTCTTTGAGAACTTGATGTGCTCAGTTTTTGTATAAGCAACCTGAGGTTTGTTTCTGTAATTGCTCCCTGTTGAGAGTTTTGGTTGTATTTTAAAATAAATATTTTTTATTGCTTCACTGACGTATTCTGTTGGAGCAGACTATAAAGGGAGAGTAGAATGGGACAATGCATGTTAGTATTTGTGCTTTAAACCACCATGAAGATACATTCTGTTTTTCCTTTGACATTCTCCCTGCTAAGGAATGGAACAAAATTTTCTGCTGCAAAAACTGAGCAGTTTTTGATAATGTTTTGCATCAGCAGACTGTAGAGGGCTCTATTCTTGCATACAGTATGGGATTACAGAAAGTGAAAATGCACAGTGAAAGGCAAGCAAAGGTGTATCTTGAGGCTTAAGATGTGAATGCTGATAGTTAAATGTATGGGTAAATCCTGGTTAGCAGAGGGGAAAAAAAAATTCAAGAGTGAAGCTGACAATTCACTTTCTCCTTTTTCCTCTCCTAAAGATTGTACCCTTCATACCAGCGGTTTGTCTCACATTAGTCTGGTGGAAATGTGCATTTTCAAAGGCACACAATTCCTGTTAGATTTCCGTTAGCATTTCCATCCCATATTGACTCTTCCCCTCCTTTGAAATTTGTAACAATGTCTATGAGAGGGAATTAATATTTGGAAAGTAAGTCTGCCTTAGATAAAGGGGGAGGACGCAATCAGAACTAGCAAAAGGGCTAAGAGTGAGTCCTGATGAAGGTAGGAGGATTGGCACTTGCATTGACAAAAAAAATCCATTTACATTGTTTGGTTTATGCTAAGTTGTTTTTTCCCCAAATCCTTCAGCATCTAGTGCAGTTAAAACAAATTTGGAAGTCTGAGAGGCTATAAAGGCTGGGCAGATGAAGCTTCTTTCATGTGGCGTACGATCTCTTCTTTCCTGGTGGATCTCCACCTGATTTATGAGGAACAGGGTTTCTTTTCTTCAACAAAATCTTCTTTCTTGTTACTCTTCAGTTAGGTTTCTACACTCGATATATATACAGATTATATTCCTCAACCTCTTATTTCAGCCCTGTGATGTGTTCCCAAGTGGATTAGTGCAACTATTAATACTTTGCAGTCTTTACAAATTTTATATGCTGCTTTGGCTGTGATTATTGGCAATTAAAATGAGTCTAAGACACCAGTTGCAGTAACAATGATGTTTTTAGCCTGAGATTGGTTTTGGATGAAATTTGTTTGGAGTTTGACATGCAGTGTTTATCTTTCTGGACAAATGGGTCATTGGAACGGCCTCCCCAAATCCTCATGTGGTCATTCGACTTGTAGGAGTTAGTTTGCTTTCTGAATGAAAGCTATTCTGGAATGAAATGACTTTTATGTTTTAAACAATTGGCTTGGGTACCAGTAAGGATTTAGCCAAAGCATTAATAGAGCTCATTGCAGGCCATAAAACCTGTCACTGACACTGGGAAAGGGGTCCATCCAGGGCTTTGAGCTGCTGGGTCCAGCTAAAGCACCTGGCCTGTTTTAAAAACTGCTTTGTGTAGTGGTCTCCTGTGGTGCTGCCACATTTACCTTCACTTCCCCACATTTTGCAAGGGAAAGCAAACACTCTGCCTTGGTACGCTGCAATAATGTATGGCTGAATCTGATCTTTGCGCAGGGAGTCCTGTCCCTGTGCTTTGTTAATGTTCTTTTATGAGATATCACTTAAAAAAAAAAGCCCAAAGCCTAATCCAGGTAATTCTTCATCACAGCCCCAATCTTGGCTGCTATTCCACAGCTGGAGATTGCTTTCATATTTCTCTTTAACCAGCATCTGCAACCTGAATAATTTTAAATTGTTCTTCCGGTAAGTTTATAGCTCTTCATCCTTGTTGCAAAGTTTTGTTGTGCTTGGTCCTAGCACGGTGTCAGAAAAAAATATTAGACCTGGACAGATAAGATGAAGTTTTCTAAAGCCTGTAGAGGAATCTTTTCATACATCTCTCAGTTTTTGGTACTAGCCAAATACATAGTTATGAGCTGAAAATGTGGTTGCTTGAATAGTAAGGTTCACTGATGGTCAATGCAAACTGCCAATTTCCAAAGACAAATATAGTGTGTTAGAAGCTATATAAAATATTTGGCTGAAGGCTTTGCATGCCAGCTCAGAACTGGTTTCTGTAACAGACTATAAGGAAATGTATTTAACTGGTCTGTACTTAATGTGGTCACTCAGGATTTCATGGTGCCTTTCACAAGCAATTCCAGAATTATGGACATATTTCAGTTTGAATGCCTTCTGCTATGCCAAGCTCCACACTTCCAGTGGGATATTGTGTTCTTTTCTTGTAGTCCGAAATTGTCCAAAAATGCTGATGTGCACTCTTATTCTGCAAAGAAGTTCAGCATTTGGGTAAAGCAAGTTGATCAAGGGATGTATGAGTATAATTTTCAATGTATTTTTAGATTGTTTGAGATGAAAGTCATTGCAAATGTAAAATGATGTTGTAACCATGAAATTGAGTAAAACGTGTTTTCTGGATTGGGTGCTGTTGCTCTGTTGCTGTAGCTTGTGTTGTTGCCTGCTCAGATGAGTGTCAGGAAGAGATTTTGGTGTTTACTGGGATTATTGTAAAGATGGCATAGTGCTGTCCACCTGATGGATAACCAACTAAGATGAGATGTCTGTTCACTGCCTACCACACCTTCAGCACAAGCCCTCTTGTTGGAGAGGCTCATAGGGGATAGTGGAAGGAGTGCCAGAAGTCCCTTTGTCCTTGGTGCGTACTACACTTTTTACAGCTTTTATACGTGTGTGAGGCCCTTAGAGCCTTTGGTTCCCCATCCACAGCAAGCAGCTGCTGTTTTAGCTTGGACACTAGCAAGTGAATTGGAAGTGGTTTAAAGCTCCACCAACAGCTACTGAAGTAGCAATTTGGCACTGTGGGGAATGGGGCAGTATAAAACTGTTGGCTCTTCTCTGTCATCAGCTCATTAGCCTCCTGTGGCCTCTCTCACTTTTTGGAGGCATATAATCGCCATGGGATTTAAGTAGCTGTGTTTACTGATGGTCCACAGTACATGACGCTTTGCACTTCGGTGCAATTTTAGACATGGAGCATCTCTCCAGGACTCACAGGCTGTTTAAAGTGAGACACTGAGTTCCCTGGCCATCCATGCCTGTGGCATCCCCCAACATACCTGGACTCGGCCCGGCTCAGCCGCGGTCCGTAGGCTCAGTGGGGCTGGCAGCTGTCAGGAGGCTGTGCGGCTTTGGAGTCAGTGCGTGCTGCGTGGGAGCTGTGGCAGAGCTAGCGCCGTGGTCCTGTGGTGATCTGGGGGGTCTGTCTGTGTGGCTGATGAATCCTGTTGAGGTGAAATGCTTCCCATGAACATTTTGGTATCCTGAAATATGTTTGTTTACCTGTCTTTATTGTACACCACTTTCACACAATATTCCCCAACAAGGACAAGAATCACTGATTAACAGTTTTTCAGTGGGTTTTTTGAGATGAAAACAGCTGAGGATGAAAGGTGGTTCCTGACCAGTGAAGCAAGTTCACCAGCGCAGAGACAATCCCTGGATCCACGCAGGGGTGACAATACCAGGTTTCAAGAAATAGCTTATGGAGGGTGCAAGAGGCAAAGCATTGAACAGGAGAAGGGATGTGCTTTTGTGGAAAGTGGAGAGCTCTCCCAGCTGGGGCCACGTCAGAGAGGGTGAGCTGAGGTGAAAGGAGTCCCCAGGCATCGTGAGTCTCTCAGGGGAATCTTTCAATAAAAAACCTATGAGCATGTTCCTGTACGTGGCAATTATACAGAGTATTTGGACATTTGTGAGCATTTAGTCTTCAGCCCACAGGAATTATTCAGTGCTATGCCTGGTATTAAATGAGTGGAGGCTTAAGTACTCTTTTCTTACTCAAGAATAGTAGAGAGGGTGAACAAAAGCGGTCAGGAGGTGGCAGAACCATGGTACTGCAGGCAGTTGAACGCAGCTAGTACAATGGTGCTGTATTATTAACAAAAAGATCAACTATTTCTCTTTGTTGATTCATTCCATTTGACTCATCTCTGTGCAATAAGTTCAGTTCTGGCTTAATATACCAGTGAGTCACTCCACATCTCCCAGTCCTCCTCGTTCTGTTCGTGCTTCTCTCTGGATGGTGTTTGTTTTAGCAGCCACAGTGATGTGGTGTGTTTGCTGGCTGTAGGCAGAGGAATTCCAAGCAGGCATGCCCGTTTGCTTGGTTTCAGTAGAACAGCCCTTTCCCTATCACCAAGGTGCTGAGTGTTTGACAGATGTGCACCTCTAATGCTGCCCATCCTACTTCTCTCGCACTGGAGCAGAAGCTTCTTGGTTTGGGACAATCTGCTGAATATGATTCTCACTCTTCTGCACCATTTGGCTGTCAGTTTTTTTGTCTATGTTATTTTGCCAGACTGAGCCATGAAAACATCTTGTCATAATTTTGCCTTGTGTTCTCTTCTTATGCAGAAACTTCTGCTGCTCAAAGTGTCTAGCTTTGTACCCTTACAGACAACTGGAGAGATTAATTTGTCATTTCCTCCTTGTACAGAGGTCTGGAAAGTTTAATAGCTGTGATGTGAAGGC